ACATCTGAACTTGTCATTATTATTATTATTGTTATTATTATTATAATTATTATTATGATGAAGGTGATTATTATTGATATAGGTATATATACAGTATATATATATATATAAAAGGAATATGAAGGATCTTTGTAAATTTATTTAGAAATGGTGTGCATTTTTTCTTAATCTGTTCTGTTATAGGTATATTGTCAAAGGTTTCCTTACCCATACTTGTTCACAGCAAATCGCACTCAATTTGTACAAGGTCTTAATACATTGTGGTCAAGTGATGTTTCAAGATTTACATGATAATGTGAAAAGACAATGGCAATGTTAACTCTTTTTCTTCTAATATTCCTTTATTTTTTTTTCTTTATTATTCTTATTATTTTTTTTTTTCTTTTGTTGTCCAATTCATCTCTCAAGGTGCAAGTACAGTATTTCTAGTGGTTAGGATTACAGAAAGAAAGTTATTAGATGATTTTTTTTTCTCTTCTTTTTATGTTGAATGATGTGGAATATATCTGTTTGAGTGAATGGTCACACTTCTGGTGCCAGTTCTTCTACAAGGGAAATGGCATTTGATTTGTTCTTTCTTAATGGTAGAGCATACCATAATAACTTGGCTGTGTGAATACAAGAGGAAATATATCGAGTAGTAGTGGATTGTCATCATCACAGTTTATGTGCTTACCTTTCTTAGCTTAATTTACATGTATCTCTTCCTTCCTTCCTGCCTTTCATACTTTATCATATCTTATTGTTTCTCACTCTTTTCTTTCACTTTGGCTTCCTCTCTCTCCCTCTCTCTCTGTCTCTCTCTCTCTTCCTCTTCCTCTTTCTTTTTTTGATGTGTACGTTTATACAATGAAAGGTTACAAGACTTAATTTTTTCCACAGAGCCATGGGCAATGAAGACAGGGACTTGTCAGCACTGAATACAATTCACATCTCTTTGTACATAGCAATCTGATTTCTTTGAGGTCTGCAAAGACTTGCAGAATATTTTAATGCAACTCTTTCTAAAGGAAGGCTCATTGATGAATGCTTTATTTGGGTCTTGTTTCCGACAGGGACAAGCGATTATGTCTAAAAGGCCATACTGCAATGTACTTAACAAGCATAATGATGATGATGATCCCCTCTACATACGAGTCATTAGATGGTTGCGTCACTTTTTTTTCTTTCTTTTCTTTTATGAGATTTTAAATTGTTCTAGAGTGCATTATTTAATTCTGTCTTTGTCGACATTAGATAGCTGTCTATAAAGAATAAGATCTTATCGTTATATTCTATTTTATAAATGTATAAAGAGTAGAAAAGAGTGATAGAGAGTGAGAGAGAGAGAGCGCGAGAGAAAGGAGAGAGATAGAGAGAGGGATTAAAAAAAGCAAAAAATACTTTTAAAACCTCTCTTTTTTTATTTTATTGTTACAGTTTTATAAAAAGTGTATTGATGAGCTGAATGTCTTTATTTTTTTCTTTTCTCTTTATTATTAGGTTAGGTCTTCAACGAGGATAAGAGGTGTGATTGGGCCCAACTCTGTACCTGGTTTTTGCTGTTGGTTTTATGTTAAAATTTTTTACACCCAGAGTCTATGTTCAATTTCATGTACTGTATATGTATGTGTACAGCTACTCAAATTTGCTTTTAATACAGTGTCATTGCAGTATAACATTTTTTTTGTTGTTGTTGTATGTATCCCACGGGAGAAAAAGGGAAAAAGAAAAGGAAGAAGAATAACACTCCTTGTAGGTTATTTATTAGGAAAATTAAAGTGTATTTTTTATGACATTGGAAATAGAAAGGATAAGTGTTTCTTTTAGGGAACACAGTTATTATAGGAAGCAAGAATTAGTGATTATAAAAATGATAATGGTAATATTTATGGTGATAGTAATAATTAAATATTGATACTTAATATTAGAAAATTGGTTAAAAATCTTACCATATAAATATTTTAATCATAAATTAATATTGTTACATGTGAGATTAGATCAAATTATATTTTTCCACAAGCATTTTGTATGACTGCTAATGCCTAGAGGCAAGATGTAGGGTCTTTTTTTAAATCGAGTACTAACCAAGTCAACAAGATCAAATATTTTTAAAAATCCCACTTGCAGTAATACAAATGAAATATAGTGTGTGCACGCAAATGCATTTACAAATACGCTAGATAGAAAGGAAGAGGAAAAGAGGAAAGTGGCAGCAAGAAATAAAGAATAGAATAAGAAATAGGAAAGAAAATCCAAAAAGAGAAAGTGGCAATGACATCTGAAGAAAAGGAAAAGTAGAAGAAAAGATAAAAGAGAGACTGCAATAGATCAAGTTTGGAGTAAAAAAAAGAAATGGTAAAAAAAAAAAGAGAAAAAGAAAAAAAAGTAAGGGAATTAGAAAGAAAAGTAAAAAAAAAGAGAATTAGAAATGAAAAGTAAAAAAGGAAAAGTACATGTGATATGCATGTTGCACACGTTGCATCTTTTTTTTTCTCTCTCTCTGTGCTAATGTTTTTCT